TTGTCTCTGAATTTAATTTCTATTAATTGAAAAATAGTAAATACTGCAGCATCAGATATCAGAATGGAGAACCTTGACCATAATGCTGGTCCCCAGCTTGCCACAATGTCACAAATGAGCTGGGGACAATCTATGAACCCAGGTTAAGGAAAACAAAAGCTCTATGGATTCTAAAGGTTGATGCACTTATGTGGCATGGCCACAGCCTTTTATGAACCTCAATTCATAGTATATGCAGTATTTTAAAAAACAGAACAGGACAAGTGGGACAGAGGATCAGCTTCCTGATGTTTCATGAAGTAAGAAATATACTGAAACAATTTCCAGATGTAATATAAGATATTATATAATATGATTAAAATATGATTAAAACATTTTTATAGTTATACTGTGAACAACCATGTCTTAACTTAACTATATATTTAAGCATATATTTCAGCAGAATCCAAATACAATAAGGTGCCTCCTTAATCTAACTAATTGGCCAGTGAAAATATGGTACAGATGTCTAACTCAGGCCAAGTCTTAAAATACTGAAGAAACAAAGGTCCAGCTGGGTCTTCAGCAAGCATAAGTGAGAAGCAATTGCTCCACTGTAGATAGGATTACTTTCCCTTCCCTCATTCAAATACCACAACATCAATTATCTATCAAAATTCCCATGCCAAATTCCTTCAGTCATGGTCAGATATGTGACTAGAATCCATAAATCTGCTCCTTTGCATAGAGTGCAAAAGCAATATAGAACTAAAAAGACTTGGTAAAAAAATGCACTGAAAGAGAAATAATCTCAGGAGATCAATTTTTAGCCTAAAAATCATTTTGTAATTTCCATCAGAGGTGCACATGAATACAAAACTTTTTCTGAAACTTTAAAAAACAAAGGCACAGGAAGCACTACTAATGTGACTAGTATGTATGCATGCATACATACAATTATTCAGAAGTGTTGAATTTCTTTATTGTAGTGTGATATTTATAATGGACAAATAATTGTACTTGTATTATTATTATTATTTTTATTAAAAGTTTTACAAGAATTACAAAATATACCCCAAAACCCACCCACCCTCCCACCCTCCCCCACTTCCCAGAGCTGAATACAGGGTAATAAATATAATAATCATTAACTAACATTAACCAACTATATAGATAAACAAATATAATGCGCTTTAACTCCCCTTTAACACAGAGTAAACAATTTGCAAATAAACTTAATCATATAAACAGATTAAAATCCTAATTCATAAACAATACAATATTATAAAAATTTCACTATAATAAACTATTAATAATAATAATTAATAATTCTAAAATTTATTCATAAAATGAATGGAACTTTTTAGTCCCATATTTATTCTGAATATAGTCTATCCATCTTCTCCAAACTGAAATATATCTCTCTTGTGAATGATCCTTCAAATAAGCTGAGATTTTTGCCATTTCTGCTAAATTTGAAACCTTAAGGGTCCATTCGTACTTGTATTATTATTATTATGGTTCGTTGCGCAGCCAGCCAGATATTTAGACAGGATTTAGCATTTTAGCCACTTACTGAGTCCTTCCCAAGGACCTGGAACAGACAGATGTTGTTTGATGGTATTAAAGGTATGTTGTAAGCTCTTCCAGGTAAAGTGTCTTTTGCATCTGACTGATGGCAATTTTGTCAATGCCAAAGGTGTTCAAGTGGTGCTACAGATGTTTTGAGATTGCACCCAAGACGCCTACTAATTATTATTATTTATTGCCATCTTGTTAAAGTCATCTTCTTGCTAAAGATTACAAAATAATCATCATAATAACAGAAGTGTGACATTGGTAGATATTTGTGATATAATAACAGAAATCTTCATTGGAGTTTTGTTCTATTGAGTCAGTGCACTCCTAAGAAGTCACAAGAGACTAAGAGAAAATACACCCAATTAAAGGTGGAGGAAGGGAAGCTGACAAAATGAGCTAATTTGGAATTTTATAAATCAGCATTGGAGAAAGGAGTCATGTGGCATATAATGAATTACAAGGCATACAGCCTTGTTGGATCAGTAGAGACATAGTCAACTATTTTTTCATATTACCAACAAGATGGTCCTGGTGCATTTGCAAATAGGAGAGAAGACACAGTCCTTTCCTATTGTTCATACCAGCAACTAGATTTGGAAGCACACTTCCCAAACCCAGAGGTAATTTTGCACTTTCAAAACTAATAGGCCTCAATAGACTCATCCCCTGAATTTAACCAATCTTCATTTAAAGCATCCATGTTAGTGGTTATCACCAAATCTTGTGATAATGAATTCCACAGGGTAATTATGTACTGCTTGAAGGTGTTTTTCTTTTATCTCTCTTAAATCACCTTCCAACCAGCTTCAGTTTCATTGCATGATCCCTTGTCCTAGTATTTTGAAAACGGGAGAAAAACTTCTCCCTGTCTACTTTCTCCATGTCACCTGTGATTTTATACAGCTTAATCATGTTACTCCATTGTTTTTTTCTAAACTAAAAAAATCCAAACATTATTTTTTCATAAAGAAAAAGTCAAGCCTCCAATCATTTTAATTGGCCTTGTGGGAAGAAAAATCAGGTCCAGGTCCAAGTTGGGAGTAAGACACTGGAAATAAAATGGAGGCTGCTAACCTTCTTTCCTAAGCAGTCTCCATTTTATTTCCAGTGTCTTACTCCCAGCTTGGAACTAAACCTGATTATTCTTTCAACAGCCTCATCTATTTATTTTTTTGTAGTTCTACTATAACCTTTTTCAAATGTGACAAATAGTATTCAGTAATCCAGATGTAGACCTCGCATCAGTTTAAGTGGGAATGCTAGAATGTTGACAATTCTATTTTCAATCCATTTTCTAGTAATTTCTTGCTGTAAGAGCTGAAAGTGCCAAGGCAGGAATCATTACCGCTCTGAGCAAACAGAACTGTTTTGTGAACATGGAAAAGATGTCTCCAAGTTTCAAGGCTGGATGTAGAGCAGCCAAAGTTCACTAACTTCAAAAGGCAAAAACAGAAGACCAAAGCTTCAAAGTCTGGGACTATACACTAGATCTCTCTCTTTCTGCTATAACCCAGTTACTGAATGTAGGATTAGGTTTCTGGTGAATTAGAGACTATGTAAAGTCTCACAGCATCGTATGATTTGTTTTTTTCACATTTGCTATATGCTACATTGACATTTAATTAAGTTATTCACTATGACACAAGATCTTTTTCTTGATTAATTGCCAACAGGTCAGACCTGAACAGTTTATATATATGAAGTGGTTTGTTTGTATGTATGTCAACCTTACACCCACAAAATGAGCTACATTTGCCATCTAATTAACCATGCAGCCAATTAAAGTTGATTCTTCTAGAATTCTTCTCAGTCACTACATTGAATAACACGGTTTTTCCATAAACTTGCTAGCACATTGTTTATCCCAAATCCAGATTATTTATGAATATTTTTAATCTCTCCATATGCAGCTGACTAGACAAATCTGTATTTTCCAGTTCCATGGGCCCTTTTTAAAAAATTGGTGTTCTGATGGCTATCTCCTGGTCCTCTTAGTATTAATCTGGATTTAAGAAGGAAGTATCTGCAGATAACCTCAGGAGAGAGGCATATAACCCTAGCCTTGTTTTAAACATGAAAACTGGCACCTGTAATTTTACCCAGAAAGCATCTGGGAGCCAGTACAACTGAAACAACAATAGTATAACTTGGAGAAACTACAGGGTGCCAGAACCGCACATGCTGCTACATTCTGAACCGATTGCAGATTCTGGTTGGTTTTCAAGAGGAAGCCCCAGAAAACACATTGCATTATGGGCACTTTTCCCTATAAATTAGGTTCCATAATATTAATGTTTTGTACCAGATCATGGTCAGTGTAGAGTGAAATTCAAGTTAGCCTACCCGTCTATATTTCATGACTATTTTAAGTCACAGTCTTTTAAAATGCCTATGTATGTGGGGATTTTGTGCATGAATTACTCTGGCAATGGTAACTCAGTCCATTCCCATCCCTATTGTTATAAAATTTCCTTGCAAGCCTGCCAGATATTTTTAGCCATCTCAAAATTACCTCACATTTTTGATCAAGTGGGCAATAGCATATTCCTAATTCTATTTTATTATTGTGAATAGATATTGACATTCACAGTTATTCTGGGGAGAAATCTGGTCTTCCATTGATTTTCTAGGATTGGCTCATTTGATTAAGGTATTAATTCAAAGTGGCCAAAAGTTTTTTAGAAAAACAAAAACAAAAAAACCCACCTCTAGATCATGTGAGAATAGCCACATTAGTTCTAAGAGGCATGTAGTGCAACCAACTATGAGTGCCCAACAGCAATAGCACTTAGCAATAACACGTAGACTTATATACCGCTTCACAGTGCTCTACAGCGCTCTCTCAGTGGTTTACAGTCAGCATTTTGCCCCCAATAATCTGGGTCCTAATTTTACTGACCTCAAAAGGATGGAAGGCTGAGTCAACCTTGCCTAGTAAATCAGTGGTTGTGATGTTTGATGAGCTAAAAAAACAAAACCAAGGTATAAAGAAAAATATGGTGACTAAATCATGGCAACAAACCATTTTAAAAGGAAATCTATAAAGCAGACTTAGGGCATTTTCCCATGGAAATGGAGTGAATATGTTACTCATCTGATCTGAAACCCGCAGGAAATTGTTAATTTCTATCCTGCCAGTATAACTTCTATTCCAGTGGTGGTGAACCTATGGCACAGGTGCCAGAGGCGGCACTCAGAGCCCTCTCTGTGGGCACGTGCACCAACACCCAGTCCTAGGCCTTCAGCTGGGTTTTTATAAAACCTTTTCGCTTTAGGCCTCCGCCGCCATGTGCAAAAAAAAAAGTTTCAATCAGTCAATTTCAACTTCTCTCAGGAAAAAAAAAGATCTTGCAAAGTTGGAATTGATTGATTGAACATTTTAGTCCCACCCAGTCTGCCGTTACCACTGCAGCCACGCCCATTCAATTGGCCACGCCCACTCAATTCGCCACACCCAGCCAATGGGTCACATCCACCCGGCATTCGATGATGCATAAGTGGGTTTTGGGTTGCTGTTTGGGCACTCGGTCTCTAAAAGGTTCGCCATCACTGTTCTATTCTAACTTGATTTTGGGTGTGCAAGGCATCTTAAGTAAATCCACTAGTTAAACAATTTGGTTTTGTTGACCTCCCCTTTTTAAAATTTACTAGCCAGAGGAATTTCAACAGTATGATATAACCAAGTAATACCAATTATGTATGGAAAAATATACTTTAGAACATTTCTCCAGAGCTGTATTCCTCCTGTCCTCCAATCCACAGAATAGTGTATTGATATAATTTATATTGCTCACACAGCTAAGCCTCATTCTGCTTCAAAAATGAGGCTGGGGAGTGATGCTGTTCTTAGAAATATCATGCAAAACAGTACTGGGATAACAGTATTCCCTGGCCCCTTTCCCACCATGACTCATCAACCATGGAGGAAAAACACCGCCACTTGTTCCTCATAATGTGAGGAAGAGCACAGTTGGAAGACTTAGGCACATTACACTTCAGCTTATATTCCTTCATTGCCCTTGGACAGTCTGCATTTTTTTCATAGTTTATTTGCATAGGATTATAGAGCTATTGGTCCCCTAAAACAGGAATGTCAAACTGCCAGCCCACTGGCCGGTTGCATCATATGGAGGCCGTGCCCACCCCAGCTCCAGCAATGGAAAAGGTTGCCCTAAAACATTAATAGCTTATCTCAAAAGCAAACAAACACTTGAAATATCCACTCTGTGCAAGCCAGATGTCAAGTTTCTATGGCACCTCAAGTCATTGGAGGCAGGGCTCAATGGGAGGATACTTTAAAAAAAAAAAGATGGTTTTCCAGAATATCTTATAGAATCTCAAAGCAACTGGAAGGAGCTTGCAGGCAGGTTGATAGATTTCCTTTCTACTTCACCTGTCTCTCCTAAACTAGGTCTACTTATCAGCCAAGATTTTGTTTGTTTGTCTTGACACTGAGTGTATTGGTCTCCTGGAAAGTCGGCATTTATTTGGAAAGCAACTGTCTTCCAGGGAATCAATATTTCCATGTCAAAAACAAAAAACAAAAGACTGCACAAATCAAGTGCCAATCTTTCTCACCTCACCAGGTAAAAATGGCAGTGGCTGATAATTCAATGAGGAAAGTTGGTGAATAGGCTGTTAAATGATTATATTTATAGGAAATGAATTGTGCTCTCTCAAAGATTATTTTTATGGTTAACAGTTTTGTTTTTAATATTTTTAATTTTTCCTGTTTTTGTGGTTATCTTTGTATTGCTTTTTAAAAATTCTGTAAGCAACCCAAAGTCGCAACACTCTGATAGGGAGATATATAAATTTAATGAATAAATTTTAACAATCCATAGCAAATTAATGCAGCCAATACATAGGAGCTGGGCAGATCCTTGCCCTGACTGCTTCATCACTACCCATGTTGTAGATTATTCATATGTCAAAACTTGTGTTAAAAAGGAGAAACAGCATTTTAACAACTGAGGCTTGGATGAGACTTACATGACCTCATTAGCCAATGTTCCTTAACAAGTTAAGATAGCATCTTCCTGCCATGGTGAGGCATGAGAACAAGCCCTTACTATTGTTATGTTCCCGATGCATAACTTAATGCATTACTTTACTTTCCTATCACCAAGAAGGATGCTCTATATACGATCAATTCAGAAACTAGATCTGTGTTTTTTTTCCAAGGCAACTTTTTCCAACCTGACATATTCTAAATATAATTCCCCACCATCTTTTCAGCATACTGTCTGGAATAATTCTACAAATGTGCAGGGCTTCAGATTGGGGCACTGATTACCTATAAGTGTGAGTAAACAGATCATGACATCACATATTGCAAATTCAGTGCTACAGTACATCCACACAAAACCATTCTTACATGTAAATAATTTTGGGATTATAAAGTGGTAAATTAAAACTTGTGAGATGTATTACACTTCATTCTCCTTGCTTTCTTTTGTTCTACAACTATTCATTTCAAACAGTTAATAAAACTTTTCTCTGCAAGTATTGTACAATTATAGCAAACAGGCCACCAATCAGCAGATTCATATATAAGATTATTTAGTTTTATTATGACTGCGCTGTGTGCTCTCTGAAGGTCAAATGGAAAAGAGCAACTGAGAAGGGAATTTTGCCAGCTGTAATGCCAACTTCTGACGTAGGAACTCAGAGTTTAGACACAGGGTACATGAAAAGAGTAAATAAAGAAAACAATGTTCATTTCATTGCATCTCTTACTATATAAAGGGTGCAATGGTTTTGTTAATCTTTATACGAAAAACCTACACGCTGTAAACAGCAGCTCAAACTTGGGGAAAATGGTATCTAAAAAGTTACAAAGATTAGAAAAAAGTTTAGCATACTGTAACAAAGTACTTCTTAAACCACATTCTGTGGAACAACTTATTCCCCAAGCAACGTATTTTGCAAATTTGTCCTCAGCTCCATGAAAAGGCTTTTTGTGGCTTTTGGATCAGTTTAGCCAAGTAAGTACCGCATGCATGAAGAAAATATGTTGGCAGATCAGTTTTTCAGAGGTCACATTGTTAAATTTCTGGGGGGGAAATCCCACAAAAACTTTTGGTTAAAAATTAGAAGAGAATAGGAATTTTTAAATGAAAAGGCACTGACTTTTTTCATTTTTTTTGTAAAAGTATCTTTTAACTTTTATTATAACCCATACCAAATATTGAAATAAGCTAAATACTATATTAGCTCTTTGAGCTTTGACCTACTGCTGGATTGGAGTGTTACACACTCATTGTTGAGTCAGCAGAAAATAGAATCAACATGAAAATTTGCTGTCTCAGGCTGCCACTCCCTATTCCATCTCCACTCCCCATTTTAAATCTGCATTCATCTGACTTTCCACCAAAATTGTAATAACGACTAACAGATTCTATACTTCTTAAAGCTGCCCTTGGACTATGTTGGAGTAAGGAAACACTACTCAAATAGTGTTCATACATCTAAGGAGAATTTAAGCCTGGATCATTTTCTGGCTAGAGAAAACATGAAGGGAACATTACAGGGAAACAGAAGAGAAAAAATGTTACCATGCCAAGTTGTGCCATAGTTTAGATGTAAAGGGAGAAAGCCTAAGATATTGATGAAATATAGCTTTAAATGTCAGCAACTACAGATAAGTGTGATTTATAACTGATGTATAGGGGATGGGAAAAAGAATTATTAATCATGCTTTAATTCAATGTTTTCCTCCCTCCTCCTTTAAACAAACAGTCAAGAACTCTCATGTTTATTTCATTCACTATATTGCTTGGTGTTATATTGCTTTGTGAGATAAACTGATCAAGGAAACAGCCAACATATTTTACCATATAGTGAATTAACTCAAAAACAATTTTAAAAATGCAGCAAGCTATTTGTATCTGCTGCATGCTTAGAGAAAGTTCAGAGAAAACTGAAAAAGGTAAAAAAAAAAAAGTTCTAAAATGTGTGGTTTTTATTTCCAGTCACATTGTAAAGCAGTACACTATTTCCAGTTTACATTTTGATTTGAACTGGGTTAGGATTTTTTTTCCTCCTGTTTAATCATATCCAAATCCCTGCAGTTTTCTTAGCAAGATTTTTCTGAAATGATGTGCTATTGCCTCCTTCCTAGAGCTGAGAGAAAGCTCCAGGCTTTGTGTTTAAGGGGAGACTAGAACTCAGCGTCTCCTGGCTTCTAGTCTGATGCCTTAACCACTACACCAAACTGGCTGTTTTTTTCTTTCTGGTTTTAAATTACTTTAAAGGAGAAAAAATGACAGCCTGAAAAAGTCGTCTTATCTGCTTTATTGAAATACTCTTGAATTTGTTAATCTGGGATACGATGATTTAGAAGCAGTTGTTTAAAAATAATAGCTGAGAACCTGATTTCAAGAAATTTATTTTTCAGAAACTTTCAGAAAAAGATATCAAACGATGGGCATCATGATTTTCTATTCCTTTTCAACTGAGTAAAGGTAAGTTTTGGCTAATTGCAAAGAGCAGCTTGTGTTCAGCTGCTATTTATTGATCAATTATTTATATCTAAGGTACCAGAATTTCTCACTTAAAATCAGGTGCAGAAGCTAGCAGAAAATCCCCCCACTATATACTTTCAGAAGGCAAACCAATTCGTTGTTTCTTAAGTGCTACATGGGGATCTCTTATCAGCAGGTATCAATTTGCTTCTAAATGGTTCAGAAAAGGAAGGAAATATTAAGTGAACACTTACTGGCTCCAGCATTATGATGAGGCTGCTTTTCTTTAAATTCCTTGAACATTTTTACTTACTTCATGACCTTGTATTTAAAGCATATCTTTCTCAGTGTATTCTCTGGAATAAAAACTTTGTTTAAAACTCATATCTTAAAAATACATACACACACACAAGCCACATGGCCTACCTAGGCAAGCTAAAATATATACAATAGAGGTTTTTCATACTACTTCTAGATATGAATTCCCCAAATATTAATAAAACATGTACAGCCTTGCTCATCAAAACCAGGGCTGATAAGAAATACTCAGTTAGAATTCTTCCTTTGCAGCTAATAGAAATTAAGAGCTCCTCTGCCCAGTCAAGACTTTTATCATTCAACTGTTTGATATTCAGAAATGTATGATGGACCATGACATAAATCAGGGGTTCTCCACCTTGGCCACTTTAAGACTTGTGGACTTCAACTCCCAGAATTCCTCAGCCAGCAAAGCTGGCTGAGGAATTCTGGGAGTTGAAGTCCACAAGTCTTAAAGTGGCCAAGGTGGAGAACCCCTGACATAAATGAAAAAGGACAGTCTCTTTTAAAGTTGATGCTATTTTTTTTTTAACCATAATAGTAATATTACGGAATGGCTTGGGAACAAGGATTCAATCAGTGTTACCATTTCAGCCTACAGTCATGTTGATCTCCATTGCTAAAACAAAATATTCTATAATACTGTGTGTTGAGTTTATTTCCTACAATCTCCTATCTGGAATACTAGTTTTTCTTATTGAGGAATTGAAAAAGGGCTCACAAGTCCTGGATCTTCTGTCACCACCACAGAATCTTTTCTTGTCAGCATAATTTGCATCTTCCATTTACAAAATTGCATTCCTCAATATTGTACTCATGTTACAAACAGCTACAGTTCAGATCTGCTAAAAGTTCAACACATACATGTATTCATTTTTTTGCAAATATTCCGTCTCCAAAGCAACTATATTTGGAACACATGCAACCTAGGCTGTTTAATTGATGAATAAGTCTACCCACAATCTAAAAGCAAATGTTTAGTACATGTTATGTTATGTTATGCTATGCTAATGGGATGTCTTATAGTATAGTACATAGTTTCCCTTACTTCAAAAAACAATGTGTGAGTTTACCTATGTTCAATCAGCTGGGGTAATTTGGAAGAAGCTACATGGAGGCAATGATTTTTTTTACACTGCACATTTTATATCAGAATTTATTCCACAAAAAGTATCTTATAAAATTATTTTAACAGAAATATTTCATCTATAAATTATACATAAAGAATACATTATAGTTCAAAATCTACATAAATGTTATGAGAAGGGACTCAAATATGCAAGGCTTTAGTTTCATGTTTGAAAACATTGCTTGCAAAATTCATGCAGACATTTAAGCTCCATAAACCTGTGTGATTTTACATAGTCAAACAATTTGACATAAAGCTCCTGTTACCAAAACAAGGAATAGATGGAAACTGGATCTCCTGCACAAAAGAGAATTGTGTCTAGTCCTTTCCATAGGCAGGAGAAAAAAACACACAATAAATGTAAACATTGATATGATAAAGCATACATTTTATATATCACTGGAATTATTTCATGATTTATTATCTTTCCTGTAATATAGTTATCTACTCAGAAGTTCCTGGATTCTTGTATGCCTATCAGTTGGTTCCTATCTGGCCTGTCAGAAGCACAACATCTATTTTCATAGTAATCTCTGACAAATTATTTACCCAAAGACATAGCGACTAGACATATTTCAGAGAAAGGCCATCTTCAGGTTATCAAATGAAGAGATTCTCATTACTTACACCAAAGACAGGAACTTAGTGCCATTCAAATGGTATTAAATTATAGCTTTAAGCAGTCCTGTGACCTTACCTTATCTGCACTTTAATAATGGCATGGACATAACTTGGCAATCTCTTTTTCTCACCATTTCTCTATAACATTGCCTTCATTTGAGAACCAGTGTGGTCTAATGGTTAAGGCACTGGGCTAGAAGCCAAAAGACTATAAGTTCTAGTTCTGCCTTAGACCAGCTGGGTAAACTTGGGCCAAACATTCTTTCAGCCCAACTCATCCCACAGGTGGTTGAATGGCAAAAATATGAGGAGGAAGGAGTATCTGTGTGTTCATTGCCTTAAGTTATTGATATAAACAAATAAAATATTTTTTCCATCTCATCCCTGAAACAAAGTCATTCTCAATTGTTGTTTTCCAACAAACTGAAAGTTTTACTGTTTCTGAAATCTGACACACTTTATCAACCATTGTGTGGGTTACTGAATAATCAGATTACTCCCAAAAGATCAATTCAAGCTAGCACATACTGGATGCTTTAAACAGTTATAGGCACACACTCCCTCCCCCAGTACCTGGGTACTGTCCTCCAGAACCATTCTGCTTTGGGTAGGAGAATTCATTTCTTTTAAATCTGCCTTTCCTTCTGTATCTGCCAGGTATGGGAGCTAATCCCTGGATGGGAGACCTGGATCAGTCCAAACAGCAGCTGACTAGCAGTAAATAGCCTCTTATGCAGTACAGCAACAGAAGGCCAATTTATGTGCACGGACCTAGTGCCTATCAATTGTTTGTACTGCTTTTGAACATAGGCATACTGTTCTTTTGAAAAAGCAGTCAAGCCTTCTTCAGTAAGTCTGAACAACAGTTCACAGCCTAGAGAGGTTGCACCATGAAGAAAGAAACCCAATTAATGTATTCCCCCCACTTTGCCAATTGCTTCAAGCCTAGTGGATAAAGAACTTTCTCTTCCCTTTTGCCTTGGACCCCCACAAGTGATCCTTGAACTGACTCAGTAACTTTGTGAAGGTAATAGGTTTCCACCTCCTGCCTTAAATATGAATAAAATAGTATACACATTTCCTTTAAAACTTTCATGTCCTGTATATGTTCTTACCTTTTCAATGTTTTTTCCTCAATGTGTTTCTCAATACATTTCATGTCAGATAGAAAATCTAGAAGTTGCTTTGGTTATAAATGTGAGAATTTGAGTGTTTCCTATTTTTCTCCACAATTTTATGGTCTGTTGCACATTTAGGTATCATTTTTTCATGCATAGAAATCATGCTTGAATCAACATTAAAAAACATTTAATTAATTTAAAATAGTTGAAGAATATTAACAAGACCCTTTGCAAAGACCCTCCCATTTCTCCCATTCTAATGAACTTAAGAGTATTTCAAATGAAGAGAAGAAAAATGTAATGAGAACACCTGAGACTAACTAACATACCTTTTTTAAACCATAGGCACAAAGCAAAATTTTATTTATTTATTTATAAAATGTATTGGCTGCCCATCTTATGATAGATCAACTCTATTATTACAGTATCTAAAATGGTCAGATTATTTCTCATCCTAACACTTCAAAGTTGTCATTATCATCTTGATTTGAAATCTATACACTAGTTCGTACTTCACTAGAAATAATTATTCGTCATTCAAAACAAATAAGCTCCTATAGTGTTGCTACAGATATCAACAGAAATCCAAATTGTTACCAACTACAGTTCAGGCTGGGTTTTTTTTTTTTTTCATTGTGCACTTTCACTGGTATTTTCACTTAACACCTGATAGATTTGGTGCTCAGAAGAGTATGTTATGTTCAGTCCAAAGAAGTCACAATGCTCCTAATCTCACCTTCTGAATTAGTTGTCTTGTCTATATTTGCGATACCTCTGTATAATGAAATAAGAGTAATCCAGAATGAAAACCTTGAATATTATGTTCAATATATAATTCTTAGACAGAGACAATCCATTCTTAGAAGTTACTTCTGGAATTATTTTTGTTGGAGAAGCAACAATTGGAATATATTAATATCATGCTGGATAAGATAACAGGCCCACTATTCCAAATTCTTTTTCCACAGTGGTCAATCATCAATGGGAATCCACAAGCAGAACAGTAACACCCAGCAATGCCTGCAGAGAAGATGTCAAAACAGACAAGATGGCAAATGCCAATATTAAATATACAAAAGAGGAAGGACTTATATAATAATGTGACTTCCACCCACTTCCGGTTTTGACCTCATCTCATGGATGCTGCTGCTAACTCTATCTCATTCATAGTCCCCAAAAATGAGTTTCAAAAGGAAAAAGCTTTCATTGTTCTTTTGTATTTGAACCACCATAAATAAAGACTGATCAACGAATCCAATTACTTCAGAGATTGTATTGTTTATACAGCTTCACTGTATGAAGTGACTATTTCTTGCTAGTCCCTGCATTATTTTTAACCAGTTACCACTTCATAAAATGTCATATTTAATCTATGACTTCTAAATGCGAGCTTCACAAAAAGAAACTCCAAATAGCTTTGCGTGTTTGTTACAGATAATACTTATCTACTTAATGCATTTAACCATGTTATTATGCTTTCTTCAGCAAAATTTATCCTGTTTACTTTATAATGTAACCTTTATTAATATTACTTTAACTAGCTTGACATTTCTGAATACCTAAAGTTTATTTTATTTTGCCTTGCCCTTGACAGAACTATCTTAAGAATGCTACACATTTTTCTCAGGTGAGCAGTCCCATATTTGTATTCTTTTGGAACTCTTGAATAGGTTTCATTCAAACCAACAAAATCTATAAATTTGTTTCTTTGCCTCTTCAGCTCGTTTCTTTCCTAAAGCATCTTCTCTACATTTTCTGGAGATGTAGAGAACCCATTCAGCTTCTCTACACTCTCCTTTTAATCAGCTTGCTATCCAATTTTTCAACCACGTATGTTTTATCACTGATATATTTAAATTTTATTTTAGTAATTTTAATATTAATGATTTGGTCCTCAAAATTCTTTCTTACACCATTGCCTATTTGCATTTATTTTATGCAAGGTTATTTTTTCTGTATTATGTCAAGAATTGAACTTTATAAAGGATTTTTTTTCTAATATTATCCTTGATATTACTTATTAGCATGCAAAGGACAGAATTTGAATAATCTTTACTGATAGGCAATAAACATTTTAGCTGAATGTCTATTATCATAGTTTGTTAACATTAAGTATTCCTTCAACAGTTTTTCTCTCCTGAACACAATTATGACTGCATTGTAGATGATCTGACATGTATTGCACTTTTGGGAGGGGAAAGGGAGTTTCCCTCTTATTTTTAAATAAAATATGATACATAAATAGGATCTGAAATGTGTTATTTCCAATCAGTCCAATAAGACTCACATTTATCACAATTCTTGGGGGGGGGGTTTAGGGAAAAATCCAGGTTGTCCCTCCTCTGGCTAGTCCCACTATCAGTTGTTCCAAGATAAAATAAAAGGAGCATATAACTTTTTTCTGTGCCCATTGTTGATCTCAGGATCACTATCCTAGCCCAGAATCCTAAAGTAACAAGGAGCAAGCAATATCATAACATGGAATAAGAAATTATAAAGGGACAGAACTTGTTTTCTAAATTCTAAAATATGGTAGTTACATTTAATTATTGTTAGAAAGCTTGTTAATTTTATTTTTTCCACTAATTTTTGTAAAGCTCAAAATAAGTCATTTCAAAAGCATAACTTGAAGAATTATTTTAAAGAATATACTGACCGCTTCACATAATATACACATAATATACTGACCGCTTCACCATCATCGGCAAAAGCTCTCCTGTAACTAACTCCTAACTAGAGATGTTAAGAACTAAAGTTGGAATCTCTCACCTTTAAAGTTGTTGATATGCAGTGGAATTATTATAGCTCTTCATAATTCATCAACAAGAGGAACCCAGATTAGTACTATCAGGTTCCTACTACCGAGATTAAAATATAAGTAATTTGCCTGAGAATACAAACATCTGACACAGCTAGGGAATAAAGACTTAATATACAAATTTATGATACTCTTTTCTTCAACATTATACATTTGACTTTTCTCACTACTGAATTAAAATGTTATCCACTCATCCTTAAATTTGTGTGACTTCCTATATTGCATCTATTGTATCTGTACTCAGAGTAGTGTTATTCTGATTTCTGAATATACACTATAAATAAGAGTGTAAGTAAAACTATTATTTCTCAACTCTAGTGCTGGCTCCTTTCAGCACATCACTGTCATGAATTTATAGCAGGAGAGGATATGATTCCAAAACTTTCTGTGAGCTTCTCTCATATCACCCTATTTGACCATCTCATTAGTTAAAATAATGTGGAAAAAATATGAGGAAAAACACCAAGACAGAAATGAGAAGCTATCTTTTTGTGTAAACATTTTATTAATTTTCTAATTTTACAAACATAAATACTTAATAAACATGTTGTCTGGGTCATTGGTAATTCAGTGGTACATATTAACTTTCTCATTCTAGTTCCAATAATGCACCATCCAGTGCTTCCTTGATCTTCTCTTCTTCCGGTGGTATGCATTTTTTCACACTGGGCAAATACAATTCTTGTTAATACGTATACAATTAAATATAGACATCTTCATCGCATTTTTCTGGTATTATACATAATATCGATAAGGTCAGTTTATAATATCTTTTCTAGCCAAAATATATTTCAATTGCATTTGCACTTAAAAGCCATTTGTTCAATCAGTATCCGCTTCTTAAAAAAAATTAATTTCCCCTCAATGTTCAAAATATCTCTATCACTTATAATTTTCTCTGAAATGAGAAGCTATCTTGTCATGACAGCACAACTATTACATTACATCTTAGAGAACTGGCACTAGCAAGCTGCTGGGCAATCATCTTTCTTACTTCAGGAGGAAGCAGGGAGGAAGTGACATATTGACAAACATAGAAAAACTGGGAAATAGACAACAAAGATAAATTCACATCTTTTATAGTTTTCTGGACACTGACATAAAGATAAGGGAGGTTTCTGCATTTAAAAGTGTCAAATACAATCGTGCAAATATTGTTCCCTCTTCCTTCCCAACTAGAATAATGGACAGTCAACTTAAACTACGGGTGACCCTTAATGACCATAACCAAATAAATTATGTAGATACAGCAAAACCACTTCCAGAAATGCATCTGCCCTGAAAAATATGGTGGTACCTTAACAGACTCAGAACAGGCCATGCCAAAACTAGAGCAAAGCTCTTTAAGTGGGGAATGGCCAAGAGCTCATATGATTGTGGTGCACCTGAACAAATAATAGCCCATATAGTTCGAGAATGTCTCCTCAGGAAATTTCAAAGCACTTGGGATGACCTCATTGCAGCTACACCAGAAGCAATTAGGTGGTTACCTTCCCTAGATACTGAACTATATCATCTATCCTATTGTGATTCTGTGGCACCATATCATAGCGATTTTATCGTGTTTTTACCCTAATTTAATATTTTACCTCATCTGTTGTATTGTCCACCCACTTTACATACATGTATTTGCTAAAGCTTTATTTAAACTGATATTTATGTTTGCATATATAATGTGGTTTATTAGAGTTGTAAATCAGTGATTGCATGACCTTTGAAGATGCCATATACATATGCCATACACTAATATTATGATTGTGGAAAAGTGTTGATATTGTCCTTTCCTTTCAAAAATAAGAAAGCCCAGCTTCCCTCTCTGACTTATTAGAAGCTAGGAAAGAAGTTGGTGAAAGAGGAGGGGAAGAAATGAGTATCCTAATGACAAACATAAATGGATGATCAGTGCTTCACCAGTAATCAAAGGGAAAGAGATGTTCCTCCATTTTCCAGAGGTTTGTGATATCTGAACACAAACAAAATTAAAGTAACCTGACCTCCAAAAGAAATGACCAAATATTACAGACTTTATAGGCCTTGATTTTGTGATGAAATATTGACAATTTAAGAAGGAAATGTTATTTAAAATCAACACACTTAAAGACGAATTTAGTCTGTTTCATTTACTATTAGCCCAAGGCAGAAAACATGGCCTCAGTCCATGACTACATTACTATATTAAAGCACTAGTGGGTCCAAAGACACTATCTCAACCAAAATCCATTCACCCAGATTACTCACGTATTTCTATTTCTACATCACTCCACATTCACTTTTCTTTCACACACAACATACACAAATGGAATCACTATGAGATTGCTTTTTCCATCATATAATTATAAGCATCCCTGTCATAATTTTCCACATCTTCCCCAGTGGAAACCTCAGTCTATTTGCTCTTCCTCATATCAATTCTCAGCTCTCACCATCTCTTCCTGAAGTTCATCTAGATAAGGCTTCCATTCTTTTCAATGCACTGGATTGCCCTGAGTTCATTTGGGTCATCTCAGTTTCATACTCTGCCCTGTTGTAGAACTGTTGTATCACATCCGGCAGTGATCATAAAGTCTGTCCCTTTCTCTTACAAATGGGGGCAGCCATGTTTCAAACCAAAGCACTGGTCTCTAGCCCTCCAAATCTTTATTTCCAAAGAAGAAAAGTCATTAAGTCATGGGCACCAACAGGACTCTTCACAGGAAATGAAGAGGTACAGTCACAGATCTTGCAAAGTACAGGGGCACCTCAGGGCAACCTATGCTTATTCCAAGATTATGGAATAAGGTATTTTCTACGTGAATAGGCATAACACTGCATAGCGCAATACATGTTTATACCTTCCTATTTGATCCAAGATAGTTCAGTAGATACAAACAGCAGTCATAACAAAGTGTATGGAAGATACTATAACTAGTCTAGCAAAAACAAAATATATTTTAGCATCAATATTTCTTTGAATGAGATAACAGTAAACCATACTGGACACAGACAGAATCTTAATAAACATATCGCAATCAGGGTACAAAATGGCAATGCTTTCATATTTTCTACTTAGAAAGCTCTTCTAAATCTATGGAATATAAGACAAGACACTTCCGCATATTTCAATTCATAATCACTATGGCCATAAAAAACTAAAGATTAGTTAGCATTAAAAGGGAAAATGACAAGAGCCACATGTGCCTCCTACTCTCTTTTCAGATACTATTTTCTCCCAGTTGGATTTGTTTCAAAAGCTAATTTCTGGCTAAAAGAAAACTGGGGGAAGGGACAACTGCAGGAGTTAAGCCACACAGGCCATGGGGAGAGGATTCCCATTCATCTTTTCTGCTCTTAAACCTGAAGTTTCAATACATCTCATATTTTGACTTGACTGCTCCAGATATGGGTTTAAATAAATGATCGGACGCCATGTCTCATTTAGCCTTACTGGAAGTTACTTCCAAGAAACCATGCTCACAAGGAGCATTTTGACTGGATAAAATTAACACCCAAATGGACTGGAACTAAGGATGAACTAAGAAGAGGCTATACACTAGATCCAAACTGCCACATATAAGAAATCCTATCCTTACAGCAACCTCACTGAGAACTGCAAAATCAAAAAGATATTTCTGAGTTTTCCATACTTTACTTTTCCCTCCTGTGAGTTTCCAATGTTTCTGTCACTAACACAAAAAGGCAAAAAGAGCCTCAAAAAACATGCCACTGTCCTCATTTCAACTTATGTAAAAGCTCAGATGGTATAGTGATTAATTTCTTGTACCATGACTTAAGATAACCTTTATTGTCATTTTTTTTTTACTGTGGGCACAACGGCACACATCAAAAATGAAATTTAGTTGCCCACTCTCAAAGTGAAACACATACATGACACACACCTAAACTTATTATGTACAACAGATGTATAGACCCACACCCCTACATATACATGACAAATAAATATTAAATACTGTCCATCTTGAATATATAATGGAAGGAGGAAGTTTGAGAGTTCACAAGGTTAATGCTGTATGGAATGAAACTGTGACTGAATCTGGAAGCTCTGCTACAGATACCACAAAGCCTCCTCCCAGAAGGTAACAAGGAAAACAGGTCGTGAAGAGGATGTGTAGTGTCCCAGATAATCTTACGGATCCTGCTCAAGCAACTCTTCTGTAGTATGTCCTGGATGGGAGGAAGGGACCTCACCCACGGAATCTCACTGTCTCAGGTCAACCTACTTTTCTGTTGCAATGACAGTCTGGAGAATGAAATGTCACGTATTCTGCATTGAACCACTGAAGAAAAGACAGGATATAAATCTAATAATGACTATGAGCACAAATCTCTCTGAAGTCTTTCAAAGTAAATATACGATTTCTGCTATAAAAATATTAAAAGGAATGGCGATAAGAGATAACTATTTGATTAACTTTATTCTAAATATATATAAAAATATAAATTTGTTTTACTCTGTTTTACATTTTCACAAAGTTATTTTTTCTACTAATTCTGCTAATTCAAAAAGTTAATACAAACCAATATATCAGGTAGGAAAATATATCTGGACTTTATCTGTCACTGATAATCAAAAGGAAGACAAACAACATTCTTCTTTTTTCTGAAATTCCATGCAAACTGGATTTAAAAGTAGTACAGAAGACTTCACACTATTTCTGGCATCTTCCTATTATTTTTTTTTAAAAATATTTGCTACCTATTGCAAAAAAATTCTCAAAAATAAATATAAATCTTGACCACAGATTTGTCAATAAGAAGTACTATGCTCCTGACTACCTTATAACTGAAGCTCTCTTTTTTACAGCTATTAAAAACAGTATTCATAATAATGAATTATAATGAAGGGAAATATTTTAATACAAATATCCCCAAGTATGAGACCTAAGTTTAGTCAGCAGCAAACCAGATTGATTGGATTCGCCTTAACCTAAGCCAGGGTGTCAAACTGCTGGCCTGTGGGCCAGATGCATCATGTTGAAACCCGCAATCATCCCATTGCCGGCAATGGAAAAAAAGCCGATACGTCAAGACACATCATGTGACGTTGCAAGTTTGGCACCTCTGTCCTAAGCCAATGGTCCCCAATATGAATGCTTGAAAAGAGTTCTCAGAACCACTTCAAACGTTGCCATCAGATTATAATTTTAATTTCATATAAAAGGGAAATCTTAAACATGTAGAGTAGGGGTGTCAATCTCACAACAGTCATGTGCCGTGTTACGACATATTGCGACTTTTTTTTCATTGCTGACAATGGGGTGAGCGCAGTTTCGGCATGATGCATCTGGCCCAGGGGCCGGCAGTTTGACACCCCTGATGTAGAGTAACATTCTTATTTTTTAAAATTCATATTACAGCATGGTTTGAGTTTGGTCTAGTTGTTAAAGCACAGGGCTAGAAAGCAGGAGACCTTGATTTCAAGTATGAAAGCAAGCTGTGTGACTTTGGATCAGTTTCTGTCAGCCCAACCAACCTCACAGGGTGGTTGTTGTAGGGAAAATAGGAGGAGTATGTGTTGAGTATGTTCACCACCTTATTTATAAAATAATAAAGGTGGGATGGATGGATGGATAAATAAGACTAATGATAAACTAAGGTCTCTTGACATGCAAGTCTTCTAAGCTCTGAATTCTGACTCAGCATACATGAAGCAACCTGCTCAGCCCCAACCAGAATTGTAAAATTGGCATCTTTAACAAGAAAATCATTGCTTTTGTGTAAAAAAAAAAGTTGTCTAAATTTTGCTATTCCTAGCTGGAAAAAGGCAAATGCAACAGTGACTGAATTTCTAGTGGAAAATATTAAAACTAAAGAAATATCCGTAATGGACATTATACCAGCTGCTTTTAAGATTTCTGTTGAAGAAAGCTAGCTACTCCAGAGGGCACATTCAAGCAGCTAATCTCTTTATGATGATAATGAGATTCAACAGAGCTGTACCGTCCCACTTCCCGTGATGGGTAACACCCGACCGTTTAACTAGTGAGGCAGCGAGTTTAAAAGGGAAAGGAAATGGTTGGAATGTGAACCTTGTTTGCATGGAACCGCTGGACCGCTAAGTAGTACTGCAAATGCAAACCCTATTGGGAAGCAAGGTGCGGAAACAGATAGAGGACTCAACCCTAACTTGATTACTGAACAAAAGGTTTCGCTCATGCACCCCCGTTTCTGACTGGCCTAAGCCAACGCCAGCACGCAAAGCCTCGAGTTTCTTGCGAGCCAAATAAGTGCCTCCTTTTATACTTCGCCTTTTTCCTGCGTATTCTTCTGCGTGTGCTCTTCCCCTCCCGGATCTGTGGACCCTTTTCTTCCCGCCTTTCTTCGCAAGACTATTTGCGCGCCTGATCGAGGGCAACAGCGGAGCGTGCGCAACGCGAGCTTGGGGTTAAGGGCGCTCCTCTGCCAGTCTCGCCATTTGCAGGGCTGGGGAACTTCCCGGCGCTGTCTTCCTCAAGGGTGGCCTCACTCTTTCTCATCTCACGAGCCCGCCCACAGAGTTTTATGATGCACCCTTCTTTCTTCCTTTGTATGCCGTTATTGAATCTTTATTTCTTGGTGAAAAAGATCAACCCCTCAAGAGAACATACTGGCAACAACATTCTAGCTCCCATCTTCTGCAACGGTCACTACAAGTCACTAGTTCTACTAAGGGTTACTACCCGAAGCCCCGCCCTAAAGGGTTACTTTGAACCAGTCACTCTTACCTCAGTCACTCTTAACTCACATGCTTTTAGTTGTGGAGAACCGGGGAGGAAGGCGTATTATGTTTGCCTCGAGTTATTTTTAAAATGACGGGATATAAATAATAAAAATGACTGCTACAAGCAAGAGAACTTTTCCCTTGTTTTGTTCAGAGCATAAAAATGTCATGCGGTGGCTAGAATTTTAATTCTGCCTCTTTAACATCTTTCTCATGTGCATATGAGGCAAAATTATTTTACGTGCATTCTTATCAAGACCACTTTTCAGATGGCAGGAGAAATAAAAACCAGTAAAAGTTCTGGTGTGCAAAAAAGTGGGTTTTATTTTCTCCACCCAGGTCTAGAGAGAGAACCTGTGCTCTGTGGAGGAACGCAATTTCGGGAGCATTAAGTTCTTCTCTAAGTCGAGCTTTCCCAAATTAGTTAGGAGTCCAGATCGCATTATTTAAGACGCCGGACTGGCCGAGAATAAAGGTTGCAGCCCAGTGAACGTAAGGAGCCCACGGCGAAGGCTTAGAAAAAGCTTAAGGACCGCTGCCCAGAAGACAAAGCGACGGGATTCGCGAGAGACGTAGAGAGCGACGGGCGCCTTTCGCGCGGCGGTGGGAGGGAATGAGGCGGGCCCCACGTACAAGAAAGGCGCGCGCGCAGCTCCAACAAGACTGTTCAGTCAACAAATTGTTCCTTTCCCGTCGTGGGAGGAGCCGCCGCCGCTGCCTTTAGCAAGGCGAGAACATCAGTTTCTTTCTCTCGCCACCCGCCCACATTCTCTTGTCGCCGCAACACCCATCAAGTTTTCAGGCTGTCGCTCTGCGGCTAACCCCCTCGCCAATCCGCGCCTTCGGGTTTCCCACCCCCACCTTAAAAGGGGGGGGGAGAGGCGTGCCGGCTTTGTCAGGCAGACGCCAGCTGGTGGGGTGGCCTTCGGAGGGGAGGACCGCACAGGGGCGGGGGATGTTTTAACTGTCTCCCGGCAGCTACCGATTCTCATACCAGCCGTAGGAAGAAGAAAGCAAATGAACCATGAACTGCTCCTCTCTTTTACAAATGAGCACGTGCTTTACGTGGCCTTGCGCTAGAGGAGGTCAGTAACTTCGGCCAATTTGGCCGAACGTCTGCCGTTGGACGCCTATGGCGATATGGTCGCGATTAGCAGGTCCCGTTAGTTACTCTCGAATAAGTGTGTTTCTGCTTGCATGCTTGAAGATTAGGGCCGAATACAGGTTTAATAATAGTAAGACGCATAAATCTTTCATGCCGCAACCCTTCCTCATTCAGTTATGCACATTTAAAAGACTTAAGTAAACAAGCCGGGAAGTACAGCTGCCAACTGAACAAACAATGCCTCCCTTAACCAAACTAATGCTTGCGGCCCGGTAAGACGCCTCCAGTGTACACAATCTCTGTGCATTAAAAGCGCAAGATTTCAAAATCTCTTCCAACTGTGCTGTCCTTATTGGACTCTACAACGCGAAAATGGCCATTAACAAGAAAAGATCCGTTAACTCAGATTAGCCTCCACATCTAAGATTTCGCTCTTGTATGTTTCTTGGGAGTAAATCTCGGTGAACACCGTGAAGTCCGAGTACGGTAGACTTGCGCAGGGATAACGGTATTAACCTACTTCCTGCCCGCTGTGGTCTAGTAATAGGTTAATACCGCTAGCCCTGCGCAAATCTACAGTACTAAACCCTATGATGTTCAACGAGATTTACTCCCAAGAAACGTACAAGAGTGGAATCTTAAGATTCGGCGGGCGGGAGGAGGAGGCTAACCGATTTAGCCAGAGCAGCTAGCACGAAATGATTCTTCTTGAAAGGTATTCAATAGAAGCTTAAACAGGGTGCACTTTGTTTTCCCACAAGCTCGTTAGCCCCTGGTGTTACCCGCTGCCTGCCCTTTATAATGAGCGCGTTTTAGCAGCGAGTCTTGGGAAACGCCACTTGCTACTCAAGAGTCATTACGCCACCAACAGACGAACTGCCGCCCCTTTGCTTTTCTCTTCCGAGTCTTTTAAAAGACCAAGAAAACTTTCGCGTTTTGTTTTTTTTTTTAATCCAGCCGAGGTGGCTGATGAGTGGCTGGTGGATGCTTTAAAGAGGGTTGATTGGGCTGCTTCGCCACCCATACACTCACGCGCTGGCGGTCGAGGAAGAGCCTGCCCAACTTTTCTTCCGAGAGCTGTCACTCCCGCTCTGCAGAGCCAGCCCACAAGTTCTCCCTCCGCTGGATTTAAAGAGGCAGCGAGTCTGTCCCCCCCCTTTTTTTTTTCATTCTTCCAGACACGTACCCACGCTCGCTTTTGCACAGGCGCGCGTCCTTTTCTTGCTGTCTCTGGCTTCGCTCAACTGCTTTAGATCGCCCGAAGACGCCCCGAACCCTCCAAGCTCTGACCTCGGAGGCGGCTCTTCCAAAATACGAATTATTAAGCACCCATCTATATACTGCCCGGCGATCTAAGGAACAAGGGGCTGGGAAGGAAGGCTACTTGAGCGGGCGGTGTGTATGAGACCATTACTTCTACAGTATTTCAGAAACCCGTCAGGAGTTGGCAAAAAGGGAGCGCGGTTGGCCGCCTCCGCCATGCGGAGCTTTCAACTCTTCTTCAAATGATCCGCTTTGCTTCCTGGATTCCCTTATTAGTTATAGGACCAAAGTTTCCTCTCCCCGCCCATTCCCCGGTTTCAGCCAAGCATCCCTCGCTCGCTCCCCTCCCAAACTCCCACATCCGTTCAGGCGAGAAGAGGGAGCTAAACGAGAGAGCGCCTGCCCACAAGGGCTCCGCAGCCGCCCCCAGCCCCCTTGCCCGCCCCCTTACCATGATCAGTGTGTGATTCCTCTGCTCGGCTGTAGCAGGCTCGGCATCTTGTGGCTGTTTGCTTGAATGTGGTTGCTTGCTGCCACCGCCGGAGCTCGATTTCTTGGCCCTTTGCTCCAGGGTCCTCTGGTAAAGGCTCACTGTGTCCCTTCGCTCCAGCTCCAGCTGCTCGGCCTGGGCTTGCTGGTACCTGTTCTCGCAGCTGACGTGATGTCTCCGGCAGCCTTCAATGCGTTGCCTGAGCCTCTCCACCACGGTGCTGTGTTTGGGAATGCCGCCGCTCCCGTTAGTACCACCGCCGCCGCTATGAGTAGCATTGTGGCCGGGAGGAGGCCCGTGGGGAGCGCTGTTCACGCCGATCCCGGCCCCGCCGAGGCTGCTGCTCAGGTTATTGTTGAGACAAATGCTGCTGCCGTTCGTGGCGGCAGCGGGGGTTGGAAAATCCCCCATCCCTTTCCCCGTGCACACTATTTTGGAAGAACTTTTTCCCCCCTCTCCTTTTACACGCGGGCTCCACACAGCAGGCAGAAACGCCGAAGGAGGGGGAAATCCTCCTTTTGGGATACTCTCTAGTGGGCCATGGAAACGCTAACAGACCCAAGCAAAAATGTTTGGGGGTTGTAAACAACGCAGCAAAACCTCTTTCTTGCCGATCCTCTCGGATGAGAGGGAGGGGTAAAAAAAAAAAAAAAACACGCCAAAAGCAGAAAGCCCAAACCCGGAGGTGCTGTAAGGTTATCGGCAGACACAATCAACAAACAGAAGGTATCCGAACACAGGGAGCACAGCAGCCGCCGCTCGGTTACAAACTCCAAGGAGGAGAGCTCAGAGCTGCTCCCCTTTTAAATAATCCATCCTTTCCGAAAGAAATTCCGGAGCGAAAACCTTCTTGGCCTCCCCATGTATTAAAACAGAAAGAGAGGAGGGGGGAAAGACGTCCCCAAAAGCGGTATGTAGAGATAGAACCTTTCCGCACTTGCACGTTCACAAAACACCTAGGACGGGCACCCACTGGTCAAGGAAGACACATGTACAACCCACAATGCATTCAGACCCCACACCATCAGAAGACAGGCAACGCCGCTTTCTTAATTGTGTTTTCTTTCCGGGGGGAGGGGGGAGAAAAGGGAGGGAAAAAAAGTTTGGGTGTTTATGCCGCACCGTGTTCTCAAAGTACTTTGGCTGCTCAGTTGTATTTTTCAACAGGAACCTAAAAAAGCAAATCCTCCGGCTGGGGGAAATCAACACGTGAACAATCCGGGGCGATCTGCAAAGGTAGCTGGCTGAAGGACTGGCAGAGCGTCGGCGGAGCTGCTACACGCAGAGGGACCGGCTCGGACTCTGCTCTGCCCGCTGCTTCTCCTCTGCCACCATCACAAGGATCAAGTGCGTTACTCTTCCACCTCCTCCGCCTCCTCGTCCATGCCAGCGGAGTGATACCAGGACAAGAGCGCTCAATAAACAGAGCCGCAGCAGCTCCAGCTCCTCCAGGCCGTGAGGCAGTCCCGGGAACAAGGTGCAAAATCCGGCCCGGACCTTTAGCCAGCAGGAACGGACACGACGATCCCCACCTAATTCCCCCTCCGGCGCCTATTCGCGCTGTTCGTTACCTTGGGCGGAAAATCAGCTCTGCCAGGACGGAACAAGAAAGGATCCGAAGGGAAGCTGGCGAGGCAGTCAACTTTTGACCTGGTCGCGTGTGATATGTGTGTGTGTGTGTAATATGCGTGCTTGTTTGTGTCCGGTTTCCTTATTGAGCTTCACTGCAAGCCGAAGCTGTGTATCATGTTAGCCTAAATTCTTGCGTACTACATTGTCAGAATCTGTGCATGGCTCCGCCAAAAGGGAGCAGCCTCTTCGCCTGCCTTGTCTGATAACCTTTTCCACATGGAAAAGTAAAGACGGAGCGGAGAGAAAAAAAGGCTGGATTTAAAATGAACCCTGATAAGCCTCCCTTCTCCCCCCACCCCATTTGGAAATATTCGTTGTGAAATGATTTTGTGCTAGCAGTCTTTTACTCCCTCACGCGAGAGTAAATACATGTTTTCAGACAAACTTATTTTCAAGTTGGTTTAAAGATAATCTTTGTAGCTTAAACTCCAATGATATTTTCTGTTGACATTCTGTTACATTGTTCATTCAGTAGGCTCAACTTTATTTAAAAAAAAAAAAAAAAGATTAGGATGCCAAAGGCTGCCCCCACTTTTTTTTCTATACAAGATTCCTGAAGAGGTTCAGCAGAGAAAATAAAAATAACCACTTCTGTGTTGTTTATTGCCTGTGTTATTTATTGCGTTTGTAACAAAAAGCAGATTACTGAGGTAAGGAACTTACAAAGAAATCAGGGCAAAAAGAAAACTAAACATATGCTACTTGCCCCCATCCCATATATATAATTTAAAACAATTAAAAGTAAACATTTACTAGGAACTCAGGCATAGTACTGTATTGCAATAAAGTCACATTTACCTTTTGTACCCATATTTATTCCTTACTCAAATTACAACAAAATAAGAATTCAAGTGAGAACTGGTAACAATCTGAAGTATTTCTGAACTTTTTATTTTTAAAAAGAAAGGTAAATGTTTATTGGATGAAAATTGCATTTTTCCAACAATACAGATTGCTAACAAGTGAGAATTGTGTACATGTTTATCTTATTTTGTATATAGGCATAGTTAATACTAACATTGCCTTCAAATAAAAGTTTCAGCCTTAATAGATTTGAACAGGGTTAAGGGTGTAATTCTCTAATGTACTTGGAAGTATTTCTTCTCCATTCTTACATTTCAGTGATATTCATTTAAGTCAGTGTCTCTCAACATTTTGCAGTTGAGAATAAATAAAATCCTAAGACCACTCAAATACATACTGTACACCTGTTTTCATGCTTAAAAGCATGGAATTTCACATTCTTTTGTGAGTAAGGTAAGGATTAATGGTATTATTTAGAGATACTCTCCATCCTGAAAGACTTTTTAAAAGTAAGTTTGATACAAAAAATCAATTCAGAATTAAGTATTTGCCACTTGAATGTATCTGTCTCATAACTTGCTGGTCAAGAATGTCTTTGACAGAAATGTTTCTAATGGCAAATAGGAGCAAGTAGATTTTCAGCCCAACAAAAGCATGCTTTTATACTGTACATTCTTTAATGTATTTCCTATTTGTGTTGCTTGTGTAAGATCACAATTCAACATGCAGACTCATAGTAACCGCTTTTGGGATCTGTTTACTTTTGTTAGTTTTCTGAATGTTAATATTTATTACATTTATATGCTGCTGCAATGCCACAGGAATCTTGTTATTCTGCAGGAATCATACAAACCTTAAACATGCAAACCATAACATCCAAAAAAACAAAGTTTCAAATGCATTGTGGAAGACCTCCATCTTGAACTCCGTAAGGCAGCCGAAGGCTGGGCTAAACTCACTTCTGGTGGAAGGCCTTTCCGGGGGTCTAACACTGCTACAGAAAAGCAGTACTTCTATTTTTCAACTCCCCACATCTCTCTAAGTGGACAACCACCTACTGTTTGTCCCAGCAAGCAAGAAAGTAACTTGATGCCAAACCATAAAGAGCTTTACAGGTTAACACCAGCACTGTAAATCATAGCTCAAGTGAATAGGAAACCAATGCAAATCCTGTAGAAGAGTAATGTGCTATTATAGGTGAGTGCCATATAATGGTTAGGCTGCTGTGCTTGGGAACAACAGAAAGTTCCATATAGAGTGGGTTGTAGTAGTAATGGGCATAACTATTGTCATTAGCCATATTGCTAGTTGTCAGTCTTAAAGTTTGTCCAACTGTTATTGGAGGGTTGGTTGCCCAACAGCCATCTATTTCCTTCCTCTTTCTCCCCTCATGTTTCCTTATTTCAAATTATATTGGCAAATTAAAATCTAGTTGGAGTGGCATAGTACATTTAGCAGAACATAAAATGCTTGTAATGAGGCATTTTTTGATATGTTTTATTTTACATTATTTTGAGCTTGTGAGATATCCACATGGGGTGTGGAAGGAGGGACAAAGGAGCACACTGAAACCCAGGTGGAGTCTTGGAATGATGTAATAATATCAACCTACTCATTTCATGCTAAAGTGCCCTGACCTGGTGGATGTTTTCCTCTGGGTTGGAGACATTTGGTAGCTGGGTGCAAAAGTGTCAGAAGGGAAAAAAAAAAGTCAAGTTGGCTAGAGCATCCAGCATCCATAAATCAAAACAATGCAATCTGACAGGGATACAATGGAATCAGGAATTGGCATTGTAGGTAACTAATTTTAATATACAAGTAGCAATTTTATTATAACATTTTTGTGCTGAAACAAAGAAGGATTGATGGCACATTTACTCAGCAGCAGAGAAATTGCTGATATTTCTGTCTTGTATGTAAAAGATAAAACCTTCATGAAGCTTGGTGATATCATGGACATATCCATGTAATTTTCATGGCAGCAGTGCAGAGGTGATTTGACTTCCAGAATGTGTTTTCTTCAGCTTCTCGGGCGAGTGTACAGTCCTGGCATGTTTTGGTGATCTCACAAATACTTAGAGTTAATATATGAAATGGGCAGCTCTACAAATATGATAAATAAAACAAATATACAGTAAGTATTAATGAGGTCTCAGACCCTCCCTCTTTTCTTTAAGATCAATTAAGGTTGGCATTTTGTGTATAGTTAATTATAAAGATTGATTTTTGGCAAATATGAATTATTAGTTTATAATAGTCTTCCCCTACATGCCATATTCCAGATTAGTTAGAACTGCAAGTGCAGAATTCCCAGCAGGCTTGAGAAAATTCTGTTATATATGATTCTAAAATTAAGGATGCAGCAAAATATTAGCTACATTTATTTTTCTTTTTACAATCAATATCTCCTAAATGACGTTTAGGAGGCATAAAAGAATATTTAAAATACATTTTAGCTTTGAGGTTCCTTCTACAAGACTAGTCAGCCCAAATATGTAAATATGCTACCAGGGAAAATTGATGGTATAAAACAACAATATAAAAGCAATTGACCAGTAGAAATTGTAAATTCAGGTACTCTGGAATATGGTCTCTAGGTAATGATTGATAACAGTTTGGAATCATGTTCCATTCAAGAATTTAGTCTTTTGCTGTTTCCTGTTCATACAGTCCCTTTTGTCAGCCATGGAAGTAATCTAAGATGCCAGTTTTTTGTTTTGTTTTGTTTTGTTTCCCTGAGAAGATCTACTGTATGTGGCTACTCCTCTATATCCACTCTGCAATTCAAGAATATTCAGAAATGACATCAAAGCCTGGTATGAAGATTTGTATTGCACCTCTAATTGAATGACATTAATATTTTTGAACAAAATTACAGCTAAGTAGACCAGACAGCAGGTGCAAATGAGTTTCACTTAGCTTTTCAGTAATATTTTGTGCACTTAATGTTTTATTTCACATACAACTTCTGATCAGAATATGACCCATTAGCTCTATATTTTCATATTTTGTTTAAAGAGAAAGAGAAGTGGGTATCACTAACCTGTTTAAAATCAAATGGCTGTTTTTCTGACATATTGGTGGAGGATTCCTGCATTAAAAAAAAATATTCACGAGAGTGAGAGGCTAATGAGCATTAAAACAAATGCACAGAACTGCCTTATATTATAATTTAGGAGACAGCTTATTTGATCACACTTGCTGCATTAAATTCTCTATTGCCCAGTTGCCAAAGTTCACAAAAGAGAAATCACAATCACATGCACATAAATATGAAACCTGAACAAAAGTTAAAATCTAAGACTTGAGGAAAAGCCTTTAGTGGCCAAAGGTCACAAGGACATAGCAATCAGGCAAAATGGGCAGGGCTGTGTCATGGATTCAACTAGAGTTGTTCCTAGGAATTGAAGTTAAATAAATAGATGACTCAATTTTTCTAATTCTCTTGTTAATCTGTGGTAGATTTTACAATTTTCGTGTAAATCCATTTCCAAATGGGAACGAATTGAGTATTGATTTTCAGCAACTGTAGTCAGCATGATTCTGGAATACATGATTCTGAAGCTTCATGTTGACTTTCCTAATTAAAAACAAAAAAGTGAAAAACACAGAATAAAACCTAAAAAGGAACAAACAACAGCAGTTGGTAAGGCAATAGCACCACGGGTTGATGCACTACAATATCAAGGACAGCAAAAAGACTATCAAAGTATCACAAAGTAAGCATCAGTGATCTTTGCAGTGCAGGTTGTATTGGGAGGCTGCAGAGCCCCAAATATAAATGAGCTGCAGGCAAGTTGCAAGTGATCCACCCTGCTTTAGGTAGATATGTGGAAAACTAAACTTTGGACCTTTATGTCAAAAAGCAATCGCCCTATTATTCAACAATATCTCTCCAAACTCTTCAAATTGAAATCTTGGGGGGGGAATAAGAAAAAGCTGTTGTGTTTCTGGGCTGAATACCAACATCATCTTGCAGTGTCATCTGTCTTCAAATTTATGTAGCTGGGCTGCTTTGCAGTTAGGGAAAGGTCCAAGTCAGCAGCAATTAGGGCTTATTTGGATAAATTGATGACATTCCAAGTAGTAATGGAGGAAGAAAGTTAATAGGGAATGGTATTAAGGCATCGAACAACCAATTTCATCCATCAGGCAATAATAACAAAACTGGGCCATGACTATCCAGCTAGGTCCGTCAGTGGACACTAGAACCAATTGGATACTCACATAAAACCTCATTCAGAAGGGAGAGGCATCGACAGAAGTACAGTATCTGTGACAGCATGAGTTATAGAACTCAGTGGTGGAAAAGAGTTTTGTATGAGGAGCATTAAACTTTTCTCAAATCAAAGAACACGTTCCAACCATTAGGATAATGATAATCAGGTATTTGAAGCAAAGCAAAAATATATTTAATTATATATAACATAGTTAATGCGTATACTGTCTATGATTTACTACTGTTCTACAATATTCAAAGTTATATTTTTGTGACAAACCTTGGAGGGAATTTCATCCATGGTATTGGGACTAGTCATGGCTGACCTAATCAACTGCTACTGAGTAGGAAAGTTCTCATCCCCATGGAGGAGCAACACAAAACTACAGATCTTCCAATCATATGGTCTTGTTATAACCTGCCAGATAATGCTTTCTTTCTTTCTTTCTTTCTCTTTCTTTCTTTCTTTCTTTCTTTAAAAAATTGTATGAAAAAAAGTTAAGATCTTTGCCAGCCTGATCAGGATTAACACTAATGCAAATGGAGTGATTTTGGTCCCTTTTATGTGACTTTAGAAACAAAAAGTAAAATT